TGGGTCTTTCAAACATTCTTTGTACATGTTCTCAATCTGCACTGTCTAGGACATGAGGCTGTTAGTTAAGGCAATTTTTTCATCCATTAGTTACCTTAAAATCTTTTATACTTGCTCCCTTTACTAGTTAAACATAGGCTTGTAATTTTTTTTCCAAATTTAACATGAAGCCCAGCTCAGTAGATACTCAGCATTATGATGTTGTAAATTCCTGGTTTGGGGATGAGTGCGATATTGGCTTCGTAGAATGAGTTTGGGATAGCTCCCTCCTTCTCTGTTTCTCTGAAGAGCTTGAGGAGTATGGGTATTAGTTCTTGTTTAACGGTCTTATAGAATTCTGCTGTGAATCCATCTGGTCCTGGGCTTTTTTTTGTTGGAAGACTTTTGATAGCTTCCTGTATCTTGTTGTAGGATATTGGCTTATTCAATTGGTTTACTTCTTCTTTGCTCAGTTTGGGTAACTTGTATTTCTCTAAAAATGCATCCATTTCTGCCAGGTTTTCTTCCTTTACAGAGTGTAACTTTTGAAAGTAGTCTGTTAGGATTGTCTGGATATCTTGGATATGTGTTGTGATTTTTCCTGTGGCATCCCTAATCCTGTTAATGTCAGTTTCCTCTCTTCTTTTTTAAATTAATCTTGCCAACGGGCCACCAATTTTATTTATTTTTTCAAAGAACCAGCTTTTGGTTTGGTTAATTTTGGCTTGAATTTTCTGATTTTCCAATTGGTTAATCTCTGCTCTTAATTTGGTTATCTGGCTCCGTCTAGTAATTTTAGGTTCCATTTTTTCTTGTTTTTCTAGCTGTTTTAATTGCAACATGAGATTATTTACTTGGTCTGTTTCCATTTTCTTGTTGTGGGCACTGAGGGCAATAAATTTGCCCCTCAGTACTGCTTTTGCTGTGTCCCACAAGTTTCTTTGCGAGGTGTTTTCATTTTCATTGAGTTGTAGGAAATGTTTTATTTCTTCGCTGATCTCTTCGGTTACCCACGCATTGCTAAGAAGTGGCTGTTCAATTTCCATGTATTAGAGAAATTTCTGTGGTATGCTTTGTTATTGAGAACTAGCTTGATTCCACTGTGGTCAGATAGGATACAGGGGATTATGTTGATCCCTTTGTATTTGCTTAAGTTCCTTGCATGAACTATGGTATGGTCTATTTTGGAGAAAGTTCCATGAGCTGCTGAGAATGTGTACTGTGTTGTTTTAGGGTGAAATACTCGGTAGATGTCAGTTAATTCCACTTGAAGTATGACCTCACTTAATTCGGTAGATTCTTTGCCAATCCTCTGGTTGGTAGACCTGTCCTTTGGTGAGAGTGGTGTGTTAAAGTCTCCTAGTATTATTGTATTTGGATCTATTTTATTCTGTAAGTTTGAGAGTATTTGTTTAACATATCTGGGTGCACCAATATTTGGGGCATATAAGTTGATGATGGTAATATCCTCCTCTTGGATTGTTCCCTGTATTAATATGTCGTGTCCATCCTTGTGTTTCTCTACTGATTTTAATGAAAAGTTTATTTTGTCAGATATCAGGATAGCTACCCCTGCTTTCTTACTGGGGGCATTTGATTGGTAGATTCTTTTCCAACCCTTTACTCTGAGTTTCTATTTTGGCTGAGAGGTGGGTCTCCTGAAGGCAACAGATGGGTGGGTCATGTTTTCTGATCCAATCTGCAGTTCTTTTTTTTTTGATTGGCGAATTAAGCCAATTAATATTAAGAGATAGTATAGAGAGATGCATTGTGGTCCCTGTCATTCCCTGTTTTCCTCAGTTTTTCTTCTTTCCTTTCCTCCTGTGCTTGCTCAGTTAGACTTCTATTAATGCCTGTCTGGGTGCAGGTCCCAGTTCCTGGTTGCTTTCTTCAGGTTGTGTCCCCCCTCTTAGTATTCTTGTAGTGCTGGCTTAATGTTTATGTATTCATTTAGTTTTTCTTTGCTATTAAAAATTTTCAGTTCTCCATCGAATGTGAATGCTAGCTTTGCCGAGTATATCAGTCTGGGTTGACCGTTATTGGCTCTCAAGGCTCGTATGGTACTTTCCCAGGTCTTTCTTGCATTCAGTGTTTGTGTGGAGAGATCTGCAGTGATTCTAATTTTTTTCCCATTGTAGTATAGCTCCTTCTTCATTTTTGCTGCATGCAGGATTGTTTCCTTATTATTCAGATCCATCATTTTTACTATAATGTGTCTAGAAGTGTTTCTCCTGGGATCTTGCTTGTTGGGTGTTCTATACGCTTCTGTTATGTAGGTAAGATGTTCTTTTTTGAGGTGGGGAAAATTTTCACCGATTATCTTGTTGAATAGGTGTTGCATTCCCTTGCTTTGGAATTCCTCACTTCGTCCACTCCAATTATACGAAGGTTAAATTTCTTGGCACTATTTGCTTGCTCTTGAATTTTCCTTTGGCTTAATTTGAGTGATTTTTTCCATATCTGTCACTTTTTGGTCCAGTTGGTGTATTCTCTCTTCTGTATCTGACACTACATTCCATTTCGTTCACTGTGTTAACTGTGGTTTCTATTGTGGTTTGCATGGAGGAAATGGACTCCTTTATGGATTCGATTTGGTTCTCAAAGTACTGATCTCACCTCTTAATGAGATATATACTGCCTCTATTTTGGCATTTATCTCACTTCTTACTGAGGTTTGTGCAGCCTCTATTTTTCCATGCATCTCCTGTTTGATATCCTGTATCTCTTTTGATAATTCATCCTTGTGCTCTTTTAATTTCTGGTCTATTTCTTGAATCATTGCCTCCAGAATCCCTTGCATGTAGCTTTTGTCTTCCATTCCTGCTTTGCTCCCACTGGGGTTCTCCCCTGCGTGGCTGCTGACTATTGAGGATAGCTTGCTATCCTGGGTGGTGATAAACCTTGTAATTTTTCTCTGTGATTTTCACATGGGGGTTCGGGGATTATTGGAGACTAATCTGCAATTTTGTTTTGGTGTGTCTGTCTTTGCTTGGTTGCTGATTCTGTATTGGTAGAGAGAGTCTGTGCCTGATCTGGGTTCTGTTGGGGGCCTACCTCCAGCTGCTGGTCTGACCTACATAGGCTTCTCAGCTCTCTGCTGTAGATCGCTGGCAATTCCCACCTCTGGAAGGGTTGAGCAGCCTAGACTGCTCCTATTTGCTCCCATGGGTGCTCTTGGCAAGATCGGATGTTCTGGATGCACTCTCCCAGATGCTGGAGTCTGCTATGGGCTCCTGATTTTGTTTTGTTTTGTTTTTTGGCTGGTTGTGGGCTTGAACTCTAGATTTGGGTGCTGTCCCTCAGCTCTTCAGCTCAAAGCTGGTGCCCTACCATTTGAGCCACAGCACCACTTCTGACCCTTTCTGCTTATGTGATATTGAGGAATCAGATCCAGGGCCCCATGCACCCAAGACTAGCACTCTACTGCTGAGCCACCTTACCAGCATGAGCTCCTGCCTACTATCAGGAGCTGGTGGCCTGTGTTGCCCAATTCCCAGCCTAGAGTATATGGGTCAGGTTTTGGTGGGGTTTGGGGTTCTCTTGTCCTGAGCCTCCAAGTCTTTTGCTGTCAGAGGCGTGCTTCCCAGGGGGTGCAGTTCCCTGTTTTTCTCCCCCCTGCTGAGGCATATGCTCAGCTTTTGACTTCAGTTGGGAGGAGTTGGTTGTGTTGTTCAGGCACCGGATCCCCAGGCCTGGTCCTGGCCCCCTGCCTGGGGCACGCTGGTCAGGCCTGTGCTGCTGTGTATACCACCTAGGTTATGCAGCCTGGGGTACACAGTTCAAATTTCTTCTACTGTTGGTTGTCTTGACTCAGGGGCACTGTTCCTGGCTTGGGCGTTTAAGCTCCCTTCCAGGGGCGCTCTTGCTCTAGCCTGGCCAGCAGAGTGTGCTCCACCGGCTGGTGGAGCTCTGGAACAGTTCCCAGTTTTAGTGGGTCCTGTGGTCTGGGTGTTGGGGTAGGGAGTCTAGGTCAGGATCTGGGGATTTCCTCCAGGTCTGGTCTCCCTTGAGGGATACACTGTCCCCTGTGGGGTACTCACCCTGGATCTAGTTGTTTCTGTGCAATGTAGGTCCTCAGTTGCTGTTGCAATCCGAGTTCAGTTGGGGTGGTTGTGGGCTGGGCTGGGTGGTGGTGGCTCTGTGTGATTCTCTTCTGTCTCTGCCTCTGTCGAAGCTGTCGGGTCCATGATGGGTGGGGGCTGGGGCTCCGTACAGTTTCTAAGAGCTGGGGTTTGCACCAGCACCAGTTCCTTGTAGGTCTTTTGCTTTGGTGTTCTGTGGGCGTTCCATGTAGCTCTGGGGCTCCCCTCATGGGGCCAAGTTCAGGGCTCGGGGGTTTCTCCGTTCATAGCAATTGGCGGGTCTGACACTGGTACCTCAGGTGGCTTCTGTGCGGATGATCTGCAAGCAGCCCTCTGTGTCTCTGGGACCCCGGCAGCCCCCACTTTTGGGCCAGCTGGCGGTGGCTAGACACACTACAGGTGTCGGGCAGCTTTTGCGGGAGGGAGCCTTTCTGCTCGGATGGGGAGTGAGGGGTGGGGGTGGGATCTTCGTGGAGACTCCCAGCTGGTAGGTTTCTCTGTTCGTGGGGATCAGCGGGTCTGCAAACCAGGACCTCAGGCGGCTTCTGCGCGGGTGATCTGTGGGCAGCCCCCTGTGTCTCTGGAACTCCAGCAGCCCCCGCCAGGCCAGCTGGCCACGGCTTGGCACGCTCTTGAGTGGCCAGTAACAATTGAGAGAGGGGTCTTCGCTCTTCTCTGTTCTGAAATTCTTCTTTTCTTCTCTTTTTTGTTATTTTCCACCTCCTGTTTTTCTCTGAGAGTTTGTCTTTTTGTTGTTGTCAGTCTCTTGGGGAGATTAAGCGTTGGAACTCGAACTCTCTTTTTGGTTGGGGAGAGCTGTAGTGTTTCCCTACTGCCCCATCACCATCTTGGTCCCCCCTCCTGAATAGTTTTTCATACAACCACCAGCCATTTGCATTTAAAAATTTTTTTTCTTGAGTGTCTGTATGGTTCTTTTGCTCAATATTCATTGGAATTCTTGCTCTTATAAAATTCAAACTGTGAGGTTTAACGGCGGAAGATGGCGGAGGAGAAGCTAGAATCTGAACAAGCTCTCGCATAGAAAGCAGTTTTAGAGTTCCAGTGAACAGTCCTAAGCCAGAGAATCACACCAAGTGTGCCATCACAGGACAGAGAGTTAGACAAGAGAGGGAAGCCAAGGCAAAAAAGACACATCTGAGCAATCTCCAGCAGCCGCCGCGACGGCGTCGGCGGCGGCAGGGTCGCAAGCGGCGGAGACCGCAGCCATACCTGAGCGCTCACACAGAGAGTCCGGGACGAAGGAGCCAGACGCAGCGGGCGAGCGGATTCTACTCAACACCAGCAAGAACCGACAAGGAGCAGACATCTTCATCCTGCAGTTTGCAGACCAGAGACGACCCAGGAT